GTATGTTAAGCTTAGATTCGGTTACCTTTGTTGTGGTGGACCGTCAAAGTAGAAAATTGAATGATGTTTTTATTATTCTGCCTCTGATAAATTGTGTAATTCTGCCCATTTTCAAATCTGGTGGCAGGTTTTTGGACTCAGAGGGTGAAACAGTAGCTGATTGTGCAGCCTGTGTTGTTGCTGACTGTTTATTTCACTTTAAGTGCCAGTGACAGAAAAGACTCTGTGAGCAGCAAAAATCATCCGTATACTTTTCCATCCAGTGCTCGGTGTAATGAACATCACATTGTCTAGAAGCACCGGCTCTGTCCAAAGACTCCACTCTGTTATTAGATACTCACTCTGCTAAATCAGTACTTGGAAGATTAGAAATTATAACTCATAAGGGTTGTTTGTTACACTGTGGAAAATGACAGGAGACCGAATGCGCCGAAATCATGTGCGATCCATTTTGTTCATTGCGGGTTCTGCCCTCCATGTAAATTGTGTAATCACTCACGATGCATGCGGATCTTCATTTCCAAAGTGCCCTGAGATATACTGATGCAGCGCTGCGGTGAAACAGACGTGTTTACAGTAGTGCGTACATTTCCAAATGACTGTTAGCGTACGACTCCTCCGTGGCTTTCTACAAACATTTGTCGTACAGAGTTCATCTGTGTTCACATCAGAGTACATTTCATTAAGTTATTTTCATAATTTGGAAACGTTACTGCAGCTACCCTCAACAAGAAAGTCAGCGTGTTTATAATTCAGTGCTGCGTTTAGGTTGAAAATCTCTGTTTTGCACAATTATTAGAAACAGTGACTTTAATGCAAATGCTGTTTACTTCTGATTTATACACATTAAGCAGATCTGAGATTTCGGCCGACTGACTGTGTAAATTCTCTATATGCACAATGTAAACTCTACCTTTAAAATGCTCTCATCCATCTCCTCTCCTAGGCTTTCGTATCGGCAAAGGAGAGGGCTATGCTGACATGGAGTACGGCATGATGGCTTCGATGGGAGCTGTGAATGAGTCTACTGTGGTGGTTACTGTCGTCCATGACTGCCAGGTTAGTTCGCTTCTGGGAACTTCGTGAACAGACCACAACTCTTGAAAACTTGTTTTTCCTATCAGCAGCATTCGTTTGATCAAATGAAGTCCTGACAAAAAAAATAAAAAGTTTACAAGATTATATTGTTGCTGACACTGATGTGAGGTGTTTTGAGTTTGTTCAATTCAAACTTTCTGTCTTAAAGTTGGATCGTCTGTTGCTTCAGCACCATTTGGGATGTTTGTGCTTTCAGGTGGTGGATATTCCAGAGGAGCTCATGGGAAGTCATGACCTGACTGTAGACTACATCCTCACACCCACCGCAGTTATTAAAACAGATTGCCAACTACCCAAACCGCAGGGGATCATCTGGACCAAGGTAAGCTTCAGTAGCTTTCCTTTGCTTTGTGTCGTGTTGGTCAAAGTTATTTTATGGTGGAGTTCATTTAAAAGGGTTGTAGCACCTTTAAACACTTTATCTGTGCAAAAAGGGGCATAGTAGTCCCTTGGTTTGTTCTCAATATATGGACTAAACGATTATTAAAACAGAATTTTTCTTTGTTGTCCTTACAATGACTATGAAGCCCTTAAATCCACCTTTTTGCATTTACGTTTTTTATAAAGAATAAGACCTTGCTGTGGAAAAGACCCAATCGCAGAGGTTATTTGGGGGATTTTTGTGAGACAATAACGACTCCAACATTGGTTCAACTGGGAGGAAAAAGGATAAAGAGTTTAATGTTCACTCAATGTTCAAATAACAAACAACAAGAGGCATGAATTCAGTTTCCTGTCTCTTTGAACATATATGACTTACTGTTGTGTTTCTGTAAAATGATTAAAAATAGAAATATTTTTTACATTGATGTTAAATAAAATGTAACTGGTGATCCACATCCATTAACTATAAAACTGAATAATATAGGCACATCTGTTTAAGGAACACGAGGTAGCTTCATTTTAAATTTCTGTTTGTGATTTTAAAAGATCTGAGTCTGTTGTACACATAGACACATGCGGTACTTTTGAAGCTAAATGTGAAGAGTTCATTTGCAAAAACAGATACGTCCATCTTCACAAACCTTCATAAACCCACTTTTCCATCGTCTACCTGAGACGATATCAATCAAACTTAAGTTATCTCTATTAATGTCATTTCTACTGAGTCAAATCCACTCAACCTCAGTTTGATTGATAGTATCTCAAGCAAACAACAACAACAAAAATGTTTTCTGACAATCTACAAAAATGGAGTTATCTGTTTTTGTAAATTAACTCTTTATGTGTAGATTTATTAAGAAAATAAATGTTTATGATTTGTTTTGTTCTAGAAAATTAAATGTGTGACGTGTTAAATTTTTAGAATATTGAAAAATGTCATTATAATAGTGATATTTATGAATATTAGGTCTTGGATTTCATCAAAAAGTGTTTAGTTCAACATCCATAGAACTGCAGATACCCTGAATGAGAAACAAAGAATCCATTAAAAAGCATTTACTGTCTGAGCATTAGATAACAGTTCAGCTTATTTACGATTATATGAGACAAAAAGACATTTACATTGGATTAAGTGTTCATAATTTCAGAGCACACAGTTCAGCTTCAGGCTTGTTGCAAAAAAATGTAGAAATAAAAGAAGCACAATAATTTCTCTTTCTTTGTTTTAAGAACACATTTTGACGTATTACATTAGAAACATGCAGAAAGTCAACTGAGGGAAAAATAAAGACTTATGTCTAAAACTGCACTTATTCTCAGTTTATAAATCATGCTCTTAAACCATGCTGTAAAGATTTGCAAATGACTTCTGTCTTCATCTAACAAAGGTAATCGCATCCACCAAGCAGATCCACTTCATCTAGATTTAAATGTAATGTTAGGTTGTGTTTTGCATCGGACAAATTAAATCTTTTCTTGTATTTATTGGGCTTTTCTCACTATTGAATCATTGTTCTGTGAAGAAATAAGTCGTTTGTAAAAAAAACCTCAGTCTGTCGCCTTGGTTAACGAACCAAAAGTCCAGATTAACACATGGCTCATTCTTCTAGTTTTTCTTTTACTTATTAGTTATGCCTTTGTTTTACCAGTCAGGAACATGTTCTGTGAAAATGGCCTTTCAACGAGCTTGCAGGTGTTTTAGCTATTTAACTGTGAAATGTAACCTTCTTTGTGTTTTATGGGACAACATGCAGGTACATTTGGGTTATTTTTAAAACTATAGCACGATGTCTGTCGTGTTTAAATGTGTGTTAAAGTACAAGTAACCTTAATTAACTGAAAACAGAAAGGATTTCAACCAACACCTGTTTGAGTGCGTCTTTGAGTGGACCCGTCCTGTAAAGTTTCAGGTGTCTTGTGACCTGATGAAGGACTACACACCTCAGTGACCCTTTCATGGGATTAGACATTAGACCACGGGTGTCCAATCCTGGTCCTCGAGGGCCACAGTCCTGCATGTTTTAGATGTTCTCCTCTTCCAACACACCTGATTCAAATGATCAGGATCGTTATCAGGCTTCTGCAGAGCTTGATGATGAGCTGATCATTTGAATCAGGTGTGCTGGAAGAGGGGAAACATCTGAAACATGCAGGATTGAGGACCAGGTTTGGAGAACCCTGCATTAGACAGGAGGCTTATGGAGAAATGTTCTGAGTGCTTGTCTGCAGTGACGCTGCCCTCTAGTGGGCTTCTAATGGAACTACATGAAGCTGCTCTTCACCAGGGCACTGTCTGCATTTGAGTGCATTTAATTTAATAAAACTTCATTAATATGAGTTTTTGCTTTTATACACAGTGCACATAAAAGCCAGCATACATATACATCACCGGCACAGACATGCCGTGTTTTTCCTCCTGATGATTTGTCTTTAATTAGACATGATGGAGGGTATTATTCTTATCGTGTGGCAGGTTCGTGTGTAACCTCTGGGTTCCTTAAGACACCCGTCTGAGTAAACAGGACCCAGTGACCTCAGAGACAGGAAGGCCGAGTCTGATCATCAAAGGCTCCTCTGCCCAGCCACCTTGGCTCTGCAGGGGCAGGGGGACGACGGGTCAAACAGGCCAGTGTAAAAACAATAGGCCCGTATATCCTTTACAGGACTGGTCGGCATCAAAGGCTGCCAAGACACTTGAAGACCCAACAAATCAAGAAAGCAGACTTTATTTTTAACTGCTTGGGAAGTGAAATATCCTGCTGCTATAAAGGCAGTTATTAAGCATGGGCTGGTAACAGGATGGACTGATGACGATTAATTTGTTAGCTTTCTCTTTATTATTTGAACTCATGCATCGGTGTATTACATTGACCCTGAGCGGGGCTGCTTGTTTGCTTTGTATGACGCCCCTCACCCTTCAGCCTCACTGAGCCTGTCCAGTTTTGTGTCTTCAGCTGGACACAGAAAAGCTGGAGAAGATCCCCATCCTGAGGAAGCTGCGTGCTCTGGAGGAGCAGGCTGGGAAGGATGTGACACTGGGGGCAGCGCCTGTTGCAGCAGAGCCTGTTCTGCAGACCGGTCAACCAAAAAGGCAAAGCAGGCGGAGGCCAAGGCAGAGCGCTGAGCAGGATGCTGAGGGAGAATCCAGGCAGGAGAAAAGAGTGGAGGCAGAACAGAGAGCCAGACCAGCTAGAGTGAGGAAAGAGAGCAGAGGAGACGGCAGGGGAGGTGGCAGGGGAGCTCACGAGGGAGAAATCGCCAAGACGGTGAAGGGAAAAAGTCGAGGGAACGGGAAGGAGCAAGGCCCAGTAGAGGGTGGAAGTGAAGCAGGGTCTCAGCGTAAGCTCCCTGTGAGTGTGACCACAGTTTACTTGGGGGGAATCCCTGCTGGGCTGCGGGTTAGTGAGCTGAAAATTGCCCTCCGAGAGCGAGAGGCCGCCCCGCTGAGGCTCACCTGGCAGGGAGCTCAGCACAGGGCCTTCCTGGACTACTGTGACCCTCAGGCTGCTGATCAGGCCCTGGAGGCTCTGCAGGGCCTCTGCCTGAATGGTCACAGCCTGCAGGCCGAGATGGCCAAGAGCCAACGGGGAGGAAGGAGGTCCGGAGAGTCCGGTAGGAGACCAAGACCATCGGCAGCTCCGAAGTCTAAAACGGCACCAGCAGATACTAAGAGTGACGCCCCTGAAGAGACTGAGCAGTAAAAGTAATGAGCAGCACGCGGGCCAACAAGTATTGATTTTGGTACAAACCTCAACACCTGAAGGTGGTTTGTTTTATAATATTTTTGGATTTACTAGAAGAGGAACTCTGTTATAACTTAAAGAGCCTAATGAAATGTTAGGACGCTGACTTTAGTTACTGAACCACAGCAGAAAGGTAATTTTTATTTTGTACAAAACCTCTCACAGTGCTTAAACACACACGTATGTGCCTTGTTTTATTGACACACTCCTGGTCTGGGTGTCCTGATGGCCTTTCTTCCCTCATTGTGGTTTGTTTGGAGGGATTTTAGAAAAAGGTTGCAGCTATTTCCTGTTCAAAGCCTGGACTGCATAAAGTCTATCAGTGTTACGTTTCAAAAAGTATTTAGTACTTTTTTTTTTTCTTCGCTGCCATCTCTCACCTCCTCCTTGTGTTCTCAGACCTGTTTTGTTTTTCTCTGCTTGGTATTTATTTTAAAAAGCCTTTAGCTGAGGCCTGGGGTCAAAATAACTGCTTTGTTTTGGTTGCAGACGGCACCACCGTGTGGCCAGTTATGCAGTTCATACTGATCTACATGCATGAAGATTAGAGTGAAATTACACATTTCTTGGTGTAAAATTTATGTAAAACAATGTTTGACTGCACAGATTTTCCACCTTTTTTGAAAAACTGTGCCCCCTGTCCCTCAGATTTCATCCAATCCTCATGAAATCTGTCAAATTTGAGTGACTTTAAAACACACGACAGGATTACAAACATTTTTTCTGTTTCATGGCCTACATGTGAAGTACCTGTGGCCCATTTGACGTAAATTGTCATAAATCTTGAACAAGCAAATTCAGAGGACGTGAACCTGCTGCCAGCGTCGTTTTGACTGCAAAGGGTTTGACGTGGTTGTGATTATTTTTTGACTTGACCTCTGAAAATCGACATGATTTGAAGATATAAAGCCACATGCAGACCGTGGACACGTAAACCTTTTTATTTATTTATTTTACCACAAGCATACAGGACTGTTTAGCCTTAAGCCAAGGTCGTTCATTTCTACTTGTAGAGTTTTTCAGAGTATTTTAGAAGTAGATGTTGTGCATTTGAACAGTGGCATTTATACCTTTTGTTGATTAAAAAAAAACAGCTGATTTGCAGCATTCTGTCTGGTCAGGCCAGTGCGAGTGATGATGCCAGCCTCCATGTTGAATGACAGACGTGTCACATGATGTTCTTTACTAAAGCGTTTGACTGCACCTGCTCAGTCTTGGTGTCTTTTTTTCTTTCTTTTTTTTGTTGATGAATGCTTGAGAGGTTATAAATCTGTACGTTGTTTTGCAGCATGTGAGAAATTACACAGATCGAAGAGGAGACCGTGGAGCCCGATCCCCTTCAAACTATTAAAGAGGAAGCACTTTGAGGTCAGACAGTAAACTTGAACATGACGTTTCGGGGCCACTGATTGGATTTTGACACAAGTTGGAGGGGTGATGCATTTCACACGTTGATGAAGTCGTAGCACTGACTCTTCTTTCTGTAACTTCATTTCCAGGAGGTGACTTTTCACTGTTGCATTGTTTTGGAAGATGCTATATTTGCTGTTGTTTTATTGACAGAGACAAATTTAAGCAACAGAAATAATCCACCTCTTCAGACTTGAGTGCCCTTTAACCTGCATGCTGTTTGCCTACATGTTTCCATGTTTTTGCACAGACATTACCTGCTAAAAGATCCCCCCCCTATGTGAGTCCACAGCAGCGCCAGAGAAGTGTCCCAACTTTTCATTGAAGTCTTGCTTGTATAGAGACACAAGCACCACGGTATGTCTGTCTGCACGGTGCAGGCCTCGGGCTTTTTATGGAGCTGTCATCCAGGCCTGGCCAGGGAGCAGCTGTGGAGCTCCATCTCTCTCTCCCTGAGCCCCGCCAGAGCGCTGAACCTCGGCAAATGTCATCAGTTTGTTAATGTGCTGTTCCACTGCTGTTGATCCCGCTTACCCCCGCGCTCCGTGGCATGCTCGTTTTACTGGGGTTCAGTCAGTGGTCATGTTGTGGGACTGCAAAGCCAGGCAAGTATTAAAACGGAGCACATTACATCCTCTGGTAAGGATGTGCACACAAGCATCGACAACAGGACTTGGAAAGTAAAATCTTAAAGCACGGTTGGTTTATCTAAATTCCAAGAGGTGCTCATCAGAGTAATGTGAGTGAAGTATGCTGTTGCTCACAAATAGATTGCGCCTAACATGTTTTTGTACATGAGGAGCACCTGTTGTTTTCAACACCACTGAAACTGAAACTGAAAGAACTTAAAATCCTGAAGGAAATGGAGACTTTTTCTAGTTTGTGCCAACACAGATGACTAAATCCGGCATTATTCTCAAACCACAGATTTGCTCGTGAATCTTGTAGATTAACTCCTATAATTACCAAACAATAAGGAACCAAGTTTAGAAAAAATTGTCTCATGGCCTTTAAATTTAATGATGTGTTAAGACATTCAGAAACTCGCACATTCATTATTTGTATGTATATTTAATTGCATCTTGTGCCTTTGCTGTACATGGTGAGGTTGGTGTTTCTATAGTATTCAATAAGGACAGAATATTTTAGAGGAGACAAAACTTTCTTCAATTTTTTTTCCCCATTTAGAAGATTTTTTTAATTTTCTTGAACCCATTCTTTGTGCAGATTTTTGTGCGTTTTGCTGGACACCCTGGAGCTAATCACTACACGAGTTTAAAGGGTTGGATCAGCACCATTTATTATATTTCCACCAGGATATTACGCAGAAGTACTCGACAATGCTTTGGAGGAAAACAACCAGCCGGACGGTGCTGCAGGTTTCCAGCCTGTAACCAAACGCGGGTGAGATCTCTGCCCCTGATTTGTTCCGCCTTAATTGTCGCACACTCTCCTTACATAGAAAGCATTTTTACCATCAACTTTTCAGACAATTCATTTTAATTAATTTTGTGGAAAATCTGATTTGTTCATATAATATCAGATGACAGTGAACAACACGCTGCTGCGTCGCGCTTTGTACTGATAGTGGACCTGTGCGTAATGTGCGTAAAAGTTCCCCAAAAAGTAGATTGAACCCACATGAACTCGGTTTATCCACCATTTTAGATTGATTACAAGAAAATACATTCATGTAACAACTCTGTTAAATTATTACTGTGGAGTTACAGTAAACGGGGTGAAATATTCCCTCTTTAAATATTTAAAAATAATAATTATCACGGTTTTTTTTTTCCACTTTCTTTGCCCACAAAATAGCAGAAATGTTGTGTATGTGTGTGTGATAAAACTGAAACATGTCTTATTTTTGTGGATGTACAGGCCCAAACAGCCCAGCAGATATATTTTTTTTATTTCTTACAAATGATTTGTTGTAATAAAAGCCTAAAGATTAGCCCTTCGCAGATGGACCCTCGCTAATTTTTTTTCCTACCAATATATAAGTATACAGTGCTGGAAGTAATGGTCTACAATATATTTGACACAAACGACATAACAGTGCTTACAATATATCCTCAATTTTCATTTTTAAAACAAATAATAAGCGTTCTGACAAATATTGCCAATAAAGCATATAACTCCTTGGCCCAAATTCGCCTGAAATTAAAATAGAGGCCTAAAGAATAAATAAAAAGTTGCGCTTATAGGCTATTCAAAAAAATAAAACAAAAAAAGTGCCGTCATCGTTTTTTTTTTTTTTACACAGTATACAGTATATGGACACACAGAATATATGTAACGTCCATAAATTGATCGTTTCAGAAATTAACGTCGGGTAGGCGAAGTCCAAAAAAATAGAACCTCAGTCTAAATTTATCAAAGAACAGTCAGGTAAAAACATTAGACGGAGAACAATGGAAGTGTGCTTTTTTTTTTTCTTTCTTACTTTTTTTTTTCTTTTTTTTTTCTTTTAAACATTGGCCTGCATTAACAAGATGAATAAACAAGAACAAAAAAAAAAAGTGTAGAAGTGGTAGTCATCCGCTCTGCAGGACTAAGTACCAAACAACAGCAAGGATTCCTGCGCCCACTCTTTACCCCGCTGGTCGATGATAATGGCATGGAG